CGCCCATCCTCATCAACGATTTACTTGATGTCTCACTATATAGATATATATATATATATATATATATATATATATATATGTATTATATATATATACATATGATGGAAGGTAATGGTGAACATAGTTCGATTATCTCACGATACACGTCCGCACACACACACACACACACACACCACACACACACACACACACACACACACACACAACAACACACACACACACACACAATGCCGCTGCGTGTGACGTATCACCATGACGGTAATGTCAATGCATCAGAGGCAAAAATCAATTGGACTACTAGACCAACCACATCAATTACCAAAAGTCACACCATGATCACCAGCTGAATCAGCAAGCCAAAAAGCCTAGCTCATGACAAAAAACGCTGATGTGCAACCAAAGGCGCCAGTTTAAACGTGGTAAAGGAAACGGACATGACATGAAAGGCAAAATGTCCGAGTGACGGCGGAGAGATGAAGTATGAAGTATCAAAAATGCATTAAAACGTAACCAAGACCCGTAAATTGTGCGGCCTACGTAGCTCGATGGATGAGGGTTTAGAGCGGTTGGCGGCCCAGGCCCACTCGTAGTGGGATGAGGATTTGAGTCGCTGCACGCACCGTACGCAGGGGTGCACTCAGGATGAACTATGCAGTGGGCAAGGGACAAGTGCAAAAGTAAAGGGCAAGTGAAAACCCATCAAGCTACTATCTTTGTACGACGCTGAACAAATGCGGGCCTTGGGGGCCCCCCTTTTGGCGCGTCTATGAGCACTCGCTATTTGCCCCTAGCCAGTGGCGCAGCCAAGATTTCGCCCAGGGAAGGCCAAATCAGGGCAGAGAGCAGAGAGGTCATTTAGCCAAGCGGGTCCTCCTTTTTTGGTATACAGGCCCCGTGTTTTATGTTGTGCCTCTTTTTAGACTCGGGGTCCGATTGTCATGCCTCAAGGACACACTCTTTATATTTTAAAGCATTTACGGGCGTTCTGAACAGCCAAAGAGTATGGGGCTTTCGGGCACCGGGGCTACCACTACCTCCAGGGGACAAGGGCATAACCTGAGAAGTCCCCCCCCCCTCCCTGTCTACGTCACTGCCCCCTGGCTGGGATGGCCTGCACCCTGCGGCTCACTGTAGCGGCCGCTCAAGGTCTGGGAGGTCAGAGAGCGGGGTGGGACTGCGCCGAGCATCGCGGCCACGTCAAACTTTCGTCATGAAATTCTGCCGTCAATTGAATTTCATGATCAGAAGGTGGATGCAGGGAATGCTGCTAATTCTGTTTATCGTGGGCTATGATCTAAGATTCATTCAGCCAAAGAAGCTTGTCGGGAATATATCAAACGTAAAAACAAAACACCCAAGTACGTATGGGGACCACGTTCGGCTTATCGAACCCCTGATTGAGACAGGTCTATGTCTCAACCCCAGGTTGACAAAACCAAAGTAGATAAGGGTCAGCAAATCACAATTTGTAGCGATGGGCAGAGTCCAGTCTTATTGTGATTGGTACGACGATGATCAGCCTTTTACTAATAATCGTAATTTGCCAGTCGAAACAAGCCAGAAAAACAGAACCATGACACGGTGTTGCGTCTGTCTGTTTGAGCTTGCTTTAAATGTCTGAAATGTGATCACTGGCATGCAGCCGATCATCTTTGTTCTTAAAAAATATCCACAATCATGCCAGAGACCGTCCCAACGCTAAGCAACAGTCCAGTTTCAAACTCATGCCCAGTCAGGCCTAATTCTTTATTCCAGAAGAAAGTTTGTGCTCCTGAGTTACACTCGTAGCACGAATTGGATGTGCTAAGTCCAGTTATGGATGCGTACATTTATATTTGTCTATAGCTATAAAACCTTACCTTTGTGTTTCCTTTCTCAAATGGGTTTCACATAAGTTGCCATCTTTTGGAGATTTTGCAGGACCCCACCCCCCACGACCCGAACTTAAAGCTGCCGCTCCCTGATCGGGATGCTCCTGAGAACCTTGCATAATCCCGCAAGCGTAAGCGTACTTTAAAGTATGATTCTGCATCAAAAGAAGCTGCATTATATACACGAACTAATTTCGTATAAATTGAAATACCTTATTCAACAACATAGCAGAAAAAGTAAAAAATCTACGCTGGTCAAGTAACATGTATATGTTTTTCCGCGCTACAAATGAGTTCCATGAGTTATGCCGACCTTTAGCTTAGTAACAAAGCTACATCTTCATGAGAATATGCGAGCTCAGCCAGTCTAAAGACACAAAGCTACCCTTTTCCAACATCACACACCTTGAACCCGTATGTTCAGTCAGAGCACACATATTTTTATCCTTATTGCTAGCTCGGATATGCTATTTTCATCATTACCTACCCTGGAGTTTGCTCTGCTGTCTGTGATCGTTTTGCGTCATTTACCACACTTCTGCTAATTGTAGTGTAAGACATAAATGTCATTAAGTGCACACCAGGCATTAAGTGCATTCGCCATCATAACTTTTGAATTGACGTGGCATAACACCGCTCGGGATATGACATGACATTTCTCGGGATATAGCATGCCACTGCTCGGGATATGGCATGTCACTATTTGGGGGTACGGCATGACACTGCTCGGGATATGGCATGACATTACTCAGGATGGTATACTATTCAGATTCCCGCTATAAGCACGTCGAAACGCATCGACGAACATCACGAGCGATCTTCTGTAACGATGCCTGGGCTGGCTCTTCTGCTCATAAACCTTGAGTTCGACACCAATTCGTCTTTCCTCACGAGTTGTCGGGCTGAGTACAAACGAACCCAATATTCTGTTTTCTCCCTGAAATTACTTCGCCCTGCCAAGCAAGTTAATTGCAAAGCTGGAAGAGGTTGACTGAAAAGCCATTTGTAAGGCTACAGCTTTTTATACGATGCAATTCTGTTTCGGCTTCAGCTCCCTTCGATTTTCAGTCGTGCTTGTTACCGCGCACTGGAGCAAGCACTGCAGTTGCACCTTCGCCTTGGTTCTGCAGCGGCAAAACTAGGCCAGCCTAAACCTCCCTTAGCGTGATATTGCCACCCCAGCCGGTGCCCAAATCTGACGAGACAGGTGTCCACAACAGAATGAGGTTCTGCCGACATTCGTGTTCATTAGTGCATGGTTCAAGCCGCACGTTTGAAGCCGGATCAGCCTGAATCCGCTTGCGTCAGAACAGCTTTCTGCCCCGCCAGCCGAAGACACCACCGACAGCGAAACCCTTTGGAGGGCTGGCTGGCTTAACACCTAGGGCTGGTGACGACAGCTTCTCACTAAGTGCCATGTCGTAATGGGATCCATTGTCCTAAGCCCTTTGCGGTCTCAAGAACTGTTCCATACAACTTTCATTCGAGGCTTTGGGTCAGCCGGGACAAGAACTGGGGCACCGCAGGCAGCTGTTCGCTCTCGAGTACTCGGTCTCAGTACTCGACAACCCGCCACCGAATGCCTAAGCCAAACAAAACAAGCCTCGTTGGTTATTAAGTACAACTGCGACGAATATATAACACATACATTGTTACGTACAGGCTGATGTCCCGGTACCAAATGCCTTAGGTCACGCGACCGGTCTCCGCGCCGGCGACACGCGACACGGAGCCTGCCCCCCCCCCCCCCGGCGATTCCTGGTCACGTGACACAGCCTCTGTCTCGTTCACTGGCACCTCGCAGATCACGTACATAAGAGCAGTTATGTCGGCCTGATGCCTTGTTGACGGACGCAGAGGAGCTGAAAAATACAAATATATTGAAACTGGTACTGGTGCCTCAAGCATGGAAACACTGCAAGCGGCTTTATCAAACACTGCAAGCGGCTTTATCAAACACTGCAAGCGGCTTTATCAAACACTGCAAGCCAAGCGGCTTTAATCAAACACTGCAAGCGGCTTTATCAAACACTGCAAGCGGCTTTATCAAACACTGCAAGCGGCTTTATCAAACACTGCAAGCGGGCTTTATCAAACACTGCAAGCGACTTTATCAAACCCTGCAAGCGGACTTTATCAAACACTGCAAGCGG